GGCGACATCCGGGTCACCACACCCTCGCGGTACGTCCAATACGCCACTCAAGTACGCATGGGTCCTGGATTTGCCCCGCCAGTCTTCGATCAATTCGATGCAATCACCCTGCAGATCACAGACACCCAAGGCATCACATGGTTCATAGCAGAATCGGACACACGACTTCGAGCCCTTATGGGCAAGTGTTCAAGTCGGTCACCCTGGCCGCCATGTTATCTGCAGGGCGCTTTGGAATAAGTTGCCCCTACCCAGAGCACTCCAATGGGCCATGTATTCCCCGACCGAGCTTCACCGCATTTGAATTAACAGGCCCGAAGCCAAGACGCCACGCCTCAACAAGTTCATCCACACCATCCATTCATTCCAGTTGAAGGAGTTTCCCTGAGGATCGCTTGGGAGGAGGAGGAGTTTTTTTGTTTGTTCCAGCACCTGCAGACTGGAGCTACCTTCAGCAATGCTGCATGCCAGGAAGTTGCAGGATGAGAGGGCTTCACGATGAGAACTGCGGGGGCGCGGGCGTCAGATCAGCTAGGGGGCAGGTCACAGAGGCGGGGCCCGTTCTGGGCGGAAACGAATTGAAGGGGCGCGGGTGTCAGACCAGCTAGGGGGCCAGGTCAGAGAGGCGGGGTCGGACCCGGGCGGAAAATGGGAGGGTAAGAGGGCTTCAGAAAGGGACAGAGGAGGCGAGGGTGTCAGACGAGGTATTGGCCAGGTCAAGAGAGGCGGAGGCGGGGTCGGATCCGGGCGGGAAATGCGAGGGTAAGAGGGCTTCAGGAAGGGACTGAGGAGGCGAGGGTGTTAGACGAGGTGTTGTCCAGGTCAAGAGAGGCGGGGCTGGTTCTGAGCGGCAAATGGTTGGGCGAGGCGAGTGCGAGAAGAAAACGAAAGGCGGGGTCGATTCCCGGCGGAAATTGGCGGAGTGAGGGCTCTTCAAGATGATAATTGAGAGGGCGCGGATGTTCGATGAGGTAGGGGGCCAGGCCAGAGAGGCGGGGTCGGACCCGGGCAGAAAATGAATGGGCAAAAGGGCTTCAAGAAGAGAACTGCGGTGGCGCGGGTGTCCGACGGAGTAGGGGCCAGGTCAAAGAGGCGAAGCCGGTTTTGGGCGGGAAATGGTGGGTGAGGGGGCTGCGAGAAGAAAACGAAAGGCGGGGTCGGTTCCGAGCGGAAAGTGGCGGGTGACGGGGACTCAAGATGAGAACTGAGAGGGCGCGGATGTCAGATGAGGTGTGGGGCCAGGCAGCCAAGGCGGGGTCGGTTCTGGACGGAAAATGAAAGAAAGGCGCACGGGGGTCGAGAGGGCGCGGGGAGGTCCGACGAGGTAGGGGGCCAGGTCACGGCGACGGGGTCGGTTCCAGGCGGAAGACCCAGGCCGAGACGGGGCGAGGGGTGCTCGGGGAAGAAGACGGCGGGGTGGTGTGGGGGGGGTCAAGAAGAGATCGGCGTCCAGGCCGAGAGTGGCGGGGCGAGGGGTGCCCGGAGGAGAAAGTTATGGAAAGGGTGCGGGCGTGAGAGGCCAGGCAGGGGGCCCCAGGGCAGAGAGGAGGTCGGGCCAGTGCCGGGCCGAAGAAACCTGGCGAGGCCAGAGGAGTGCGGGAAGGGCCCTCAGAAGGAGTGGTGACCACACCGTGTGGTGAGTTTTGCTCGCCTCATCTGTCTCCTCACCTGTCTCGTTTTCCTGCTCGTCTTACTGCGTCTCCTTCTCCCCCTATACCTCCTCCTCCTCCTCCTCTTCTTTCTCCTCCTCCTCCTCCTCCTCCTCCTCCTCCTCCCAGACATGTGGGGTCACCGCACGGGTTTGGGACTCGAGTCCCTCTCGGAGGACGTCTCGGGCGGCAGGGGCCTCCAGTGTCCCAAGACCGTGCGGTGACGGACCGTGCGGTCGAGGTCTCTTGGGGTTCCAAGGTCACTGCACGGTCTGTCACCACACGGGTTTGGGATCCCCCAGAATTGCGGGAAGTGCCCCAATTACAGACAACCGTCTGGGAATCTTCACTCGTGCCAAACCATCATTCTTGGGATTTCAACGCCGCAAAGCAACGTTACAGTTGCATGCCCTGGCAATCCTGAATCGTGCCAGAATATCACGCCTGGGGTCTCAACGCCGCAAACCAACGTGACTGCTGCGGCCTGAGAGTGCTGAATCCTACCAGAACACCTTTACTGGGACTTCAATGTCACGAACCTTTGAAACTGCTGCAAACGCTTAACACGAGCGCACGCAACGCCAAGGCAAAAGCAATGTTGCAAGACGAATGCGCGCGACTCTCAGGCGAGAGCCACATTTCGAACACCCGCCCTCCATCGTTGAAACAAATTGTCGTACATGTGTAATATGAATGTGCGCGACGCGAAGGCGAGAACCACATCTCGAACTTGTACGCCCTCCGTTTTTTGTTTGAGCCGTTGCAGATTTCAAATGTTAGGGCTTCAGGGTCACAAATGGCGAGAAAGTCTCAGGTGAAACGCCTGGCCAGCCCTACCAACACGTCGGGGGGTGCGACAGGGAGGGTCTGTTCAGAGGGGGGGAACAAGAGGAAGAAGAGGAGGAGGAGCAGGAGGAGGAGGAGGAGCGCCGTGGGGACGGGAGCGCCGTTGGGACGGGCCGGCCGCGGCGGCGGGCTGGACTTGGCGGTGGCGGCCATGGAGGAGGTGGAGGAGGAGGAGGACCTGGGCGGCGGCCCTGGAGAGGGCCCGGGATGCTGGGCGGTGCTCGCGGTCGACGCCTTCATCGTCGCGCGCATCGCCAAGTTCCCAGCATGCTCAGTCGTGTCCTTCTCAGTCTAGAGTGGCCGCAGTAGGGAGCCACTGGCCGAAGCGAGAAAATCCACGCGTCTCTGGGTCATTGGGTTTTGTTGTCATTGCACTTTGCGTTTCGACGGCCCGTCATGGTCTGGATTCTCGGGTCGTGGACCCTTGTTTGCGAGTTCCATTCGATATGTTACCGCGTCGTGCTTAGCTGTCTGACGGTTCGTTACGTTCGCTCGCGCTCGTGTGGCAGCTCGTCTCTTGGTTGCCGTTCTCCCCTCAGCTTTGCTCCTCCTCCTCCTCCTCCTCCTCCTCCTCCTCCTCCTCCTCCTCCTCCTCCTAAAGAAGTCTCCTGGGGAACAGAAGAACGGCTGCAGCGGCCGCCATGTCGGACAGCAGGCCACCCCCGGGGCAGCGGCCCTGTTTGGGGGCTGCCGCGGGGGTCTGCCGGCTCCCAGCCACGGGTCGCCCGCGGCGGGCGGCCCGCGGCGCCGCTGGAAGAGAAGGGGAGAGTGGGAGGAGGAGGAGGAGGAGGAGGAGGAGGAGGAGGAGGAGGAGGAGGAGGGGGAGGAAGAGGAAAAGCCTCCTCCCCTTTCCTCCGTCGTTGCATTTTTTTCTTGACGTCGGCCCCTTGGAGTATCGACCATCTCCCCAGCAAGGCCAGCTGTTCGTCTGAGCAGATTTGTGGCCGGCCCCGGAGCCGGGCAGCGACCCCCAGAGGCCCGTTCATGACGACGACGACGACGACGACGACGACGACGACGACGACGACGACGACGACGATGACGATTGAAACGGGAACGACAGAAGCGGCAGGCAGGGCGCCCGAACATGAGGGTCCTCCTCCCGGCAGCCACTTCGGCTCGGAGTGCCCGCCTGGGGCGCAGGCTGAGCCCGCGGTGCCCAGACGTCCGGCGCCCCGATCTCTTATTTGGAGACACGCGCCCCCGGCCTCTCGACCACGTCCCCGGGACGGGCTTTCCATCCCGGGGCGTCTTGTCACGGTCCCGGGGCCAAGGAGGGCCCCCGACGCGGAAAACCTTCGCCTCGACTCGCCTGGCCTCGTGCGAGACGCCCGACGAGGCTGCGCATTGCGGAAAGCCTTCGCCTCGCCTCGCGCGAGACGCCGGCTGTCCGAGCTCGGGCTCCGAGCGCGAGGCGCCGCCTTCCCCAGCGGCGAGGCCGCCGGCTCGCAGATGGCGCTCCCAAGCGGCGCCTCGAGGGAGGGGCGGCGCGGCCGCCGCCGCCCAGCGCCCGCAGGTGCGGCGGCACGCGGGGCGGGGGGGATGGGCTTGTTTCCCACCACCACCAGAAGTTGGAGGGGGAGGGGGTCCTCCTCCTCCTCCTCCTCCTCCTCCTCCTCCTCCTCCTCCTCCTCCTCCTCCTCCTCCTCCCTCCTCCTCCTCCTCCTCCTCCTCCTCCTCCTCCTCCTCCTCCTCCTCCTCCGTCCTCCTCCGCCTCGTCCTCCACCGCCTTCCCTCCCCAACTGATGGTGGTGGTGGTGGCGGAAAACAGGCCCATCAGGGGGGGCCTCTGGCGCGTGGCCCTTCGATCACTGCGAGCGGTGCGGCCCGAGAGGAGGAGGTTGATAGGCCTCCTACCCTGACACGTCGATTATAGAAATTGGCCGTTTTCGGTTCGCGAGAGGGCGTCGCGGCCGTCATGTTTGCGGGTCCAGGTCCGTCGGTTTCGGTCCTGGGCCGCTTTCACGAAGGGAAGGTTTACTTAAAACGAGGTATGTCCACCGCCGAGAGGGGAGGCGCTCGGGGGAGGGCGAGTTCCCCTGAGATTCTAGGCCTCCCAGTGAGGGGGTCCGAGCAGATGGGGTCGGAGGATCGCTCCGCATCGGCGGTGCATCGGCGGTGCCGCTCGATGTGGAGCTCGATTTCTCCACCCTGACGTCGCCGATGCACCGCCGACGTCGCCGATGCATCGGCGCTGCATCGACGATGCGGTGCGATCCTCCGACCCCATCTACTCCGACCCCATCTAGGAGGCCTCTAGATATCCTTATCGAAGACGTCGGAAGCTGTCTTGGGGGCCTCCCTGGGCCGACTGGGGGCCAACTTGGGGTGCTGCAGGGCCGTCTAGGAGGAGGAGGAGGAGGAGGAGGAGGAGGATGAGAAGCAGGAGGAGGAGGAGGAGGAGGAGGAGGAGGGACAGGGATCGCTTAAACGATGCAACGAAGCTCGGGACGCTTGGATCCCTTCCTGCACGAAGCCTCCGACGCTCGCGCGCGCCGCCGTCAGGTGCTGCCGCCGTCTTGCTCACCGGGGCCGCCCTGGCCCTGGCGGCCTCGCCAGCGGCCGCGCCAGCCTTCGTCGGAGGAGGGCCACCTGAGGCGTTCCAGAAAAGGCCTCGCCTTCGAGGGTCGCAGGAGTTGTCATCCCTTCTGCGGTGGAAGGCGGCGAAAGGCGGCATAAGCAGATCGAAGCCGCCCCCTCGGGCGGAAGCCGGCGGAAGGTGGCGGAAGTAACATCTGTGTCTCCAAGAGATAAAAACGTTTTTGGGTTCAGGGTTTCCAGCGGCCCCAGGCATGATCGCATCGCCAGAAAACGTACAGGAGGATTTGGGCAGACTCCAGAATCGGTTCACGGAGCCCTCCCAGAGGACCACCCAGATCCGGCCGTGGCTACGAGACCCCAGACATCCAGCGTGTCGACGTGTTTGAGACACGTCCCCCCGACCTCTCGACCACTTCCCCCGGACTGGTTTTTCATCCCGACAGGTTTTGAAGGTTCCCAGGCCCGGGTAAGGGCCCCAAGAGGCCGAAAACGATGAAGCACGTTCGTTTCGATTTTTCCGAAACAGCCACGCGCAGAGGGGGGTGGAGGGAGGGGGGGAGGCTCAGCCACGCGCAGAGGGGGGGTGGGAGGGAGGGGGGGGGGAAAGGCTCAGCCACGCGCAGAAGGGGGGTGGGAGCGAGGGGGGGGGAGGCTCAGCCACGCGCAGAAGGGGGGTGGGAGCGAGGGGGGGAGGCTTCCTAGAAGGCGCGGGCCTCCGAGCCCCAGAGCAAAGAGCAAACAGCAGCGAAGGCCGCTGTTGTCTCGGCCGGCCCCCCTCCGACCTTCGTGCCCCCCGGGCCGCAGCCGGCCGCCGCGCCCAGCGGCGGCCTCCGGGCAGTGCCAAGGGGGGTCGCCAACGGAGGAGGATGATGATGATGAGGAGGAGGAGGAGGAGGAGGAAAAGGGGAGGGGGGAGGAGGAGGAAAAGGGGGACGGGGGAGGAGGAGGAGGAGGGGAGGAGGAGGAGGAGGAGTGAGGAGGAGGGGAGGAGGAGGAGGAGGAGGAGGAGGAGAAGGAGGAGGAGGAGGAGGAGCAGGAGGAGGAGACGGGGAGACGGGGAGGTGGAAAAGGGGGAGGAGGAGGAGGAGGAGGAGGAGAAGGAGGAGGACGAGGAAGAGGCGGAGGAGGAGGAGGAGGAGGAGGAGGAGGAGGAGGAGACGGGGAGGAGGAAAAGGAGGAGAGGAGGAGGAGGAGGAGGAGGAGGTGCAGGAGGAGAGAGGAGGAGGGAGGAGGAGGAGGAGAAGGAGGAGGAGACCAGGAGGAGTGAGGAGGAGGGGAGGAGGAGGAGGAGGAGGAGGAAGGAGGAGGAAGGAGGAGGAGGAGAGGAGGAGGAGGAGGAGGAGGAGGAGGAGGAGGAGGAGGAGGAGGAGGAGGAGGAGGAGGATAGGAGGAGGAGGAGGAGAAGAGGAGAGGAGTTGGGACAGGAGGAGGAGGGGAGGAGGAGGAGGAGGGGAGGAGGAGGAGGAGGAGGAGGGGGAGACGGGGAGACGGGGAGGAGGAAAAGGGGGAGGAGGAGGAGGAGGAGGAGGAGGAGGAGGAGGAGGTGCAGGAGGAAGAGGAGGAGGAGGAGAGGGGAGAGGAGGAGGAGGAGGAGGAGGAGGAGGAGGAGGAGGAGGAGGAGAGGAGGAAGGAGGAGGGAGGGGAGGGGGAGGAGGAGGAGGAGGAGAGGAGGAGGAGAAGGAGGAGGAGGAGGAGGAGGAGGAGGAGAAAGGGGAGGAGGAGGAGGAAAACCCATCTGGCCTCTGGCGGGCTTGGGCCGCGACCGATCCTCCGCTCGGAGTCGATCGGCGCGCCCGTGGGACCGATCGGCTCACGCCAGATCCGATCGGCCGCCCGCGGGGCCGGGCTCGCGCGCCGCGGCGGGTCGGCGATTCGCCGCCACTGCAGCCGCGCCCCACCCGCTGCTGCCCTGCTGCCGCGCGCCGCAGGCGCGCCTGGGAGGGGCCCCGCGCCCCAGGAGCCCGCTTGGCACAGGCGGGAGCGCGCACGCCGCGCATCAGCGCGGACTCTTTTCAGGGTCGTGGAAGCGGCTAACTGCCTCAACGACCACCACTCCGCGCAGCAGCACCAGCGCAACCAGCAGCACTTGAAGTACGACAACAGCGACAAGATGGCGAGCGGAAGTGCAGGCAGCCGTCCTGCAGGACCTCCAGTTGCCGACTACCATGGCCACGGAGGAGGCAGCCAGGAAGAGGCAACTCAGAAGAACAATCAGAAATAGTACGGCTACCAGAACGACCACGACTGGCAGGCCAACGGTTGGAAAGGGCTCTCGAAGAAGGCCGGCATCACGGTCGACACCAAAGAAGACAAGAAACGGAACGCACACCAGCAACAACTACTACGACAACAGCAACGACCACCAGGAGCCGAAGCTGACCAAGAAGCAGGCAGATATTGTCGATCAGATCACGCCAGTCCTCATCTCGGTTGCGAAGGAGCATGGAAGCGTCTCTCTCCCGCCCCAGGAGCGAGACATTCGACGCGCATGGTATGCCACCAAGATTGCGAGACGTGGGCGTCTCGCAGAGCAGATCGCTGGCGCCAGGCAGGCCCAAGTCGACGCGTCCAAGGTGTGCCACGAAATAGCGATCGCAAAGACTATGGTGCAGCTTATCATGGAGCCTACGGAAAGGATTGTGACCTACAGGCACCAGGCCGAGGAGTTGAACAAAGGAAGGCAGAATATCGAGACCAGCATCAGCGAGCTCAACAATGAGGAAAAGGAAATCAGCGAGAACATCACGGCCTCCAAAGCCCTCATCCACGAGGCGAAGAAGCTCAATTACTTCAGGGGTCAAGACGAGGACTCAAGTTGCGACGGCGACAAGGACTGACAGAGCGACCGCAGAGGCACCCGCGGCAGAACCCTTCGCCCAACAATGCGACAGCAGCAGCAAGCACCACGATCTCCACGGGTTGCCAAAACCAACAGGAGCACAGTCGACGGTAAAGGAGACATGGGGAGGCACTTCGCAGAGCTTGCGAAGCGACTCGGTGAACAGCAGCTACATCAGGGCCTTAACCAGCATCACCTCGCTTTCCTTCACTACGAGCGGGCAGAACAGGACCAACAGCAGCGACGACGCGCTGAACAATGCGAGAACATGAAAAATGACCAGCAAAATGACGACCACGAAGCACGGCAAGAAGAGATGCGAGTAGGAGCTGGCGTCACAAGCCCAACGAAGATTTCGACATGAGCACGCGGCAGCCCAGCTCCAGGTTCGCCAATGCCTCCAACACGAAGAGGGACGACTGGCACAACAAGCGCGTGCGGCACAAGAAACACGGATCGCCGAGGAAGCTCGCTTTGCCCAGCAGGCACGACTGGTTCATGAGGCGCGTGAAGAAGCTTTCGCAGTACAGCAGGAACGACCCGCACAGGAAGCACGACTCGCCCAGGCACATCGACTCGCACAAGATGCAAGGGAAGAGCAATTTAGCAGTGAGCTTAGGTCCAACGAGCAAAACATGATCGGCGAGTACAATGAGATGTTTGCGGCTACTAGGCAATATGTCGCCACGTGAGCACGGGGGTCCAGCAAAAGATCTTGCATCTGGCGCGGACGGAAAAAAGGTGAAAGTTCAAGAGCACATGTCCGTCGGCCAAGCCAACACAGATCCTCCAGTCCAACGGCGCCCGAGATGACGAACGACAACGACGGTGTGCCCATGGACCTGCACGGCGGCCCGCAGCCAGGAGGCCGAAGGGCGGGTTGCCTGCAAGACGCGAGCTACAACGTGCACACTACGACGATGGGCAGCTCGCAGCCAGGAGGCCGAAGGGCGGGCTGCCAGAAAGAGACGACAACGGCTACGACAAGGCAAAGAGCACAAGGCGAAGGAAAGAAACAAGTCTGGCAGCCCGCAGCCCATGAGCGGCCGAAGGGCGGGCTGCCAGACAGCGACTCCCCCAGCATCCAGGCAAAACCCTTCATCAGCAGAAGGGAAGATGGAGCACCGTGCTCCATGGCAGGCCCCCGAGTGGTGCCGCCGCCTCGCGTGACAGGCGAGGCCGAGCAGCCGACCAGCCTGGTCGGAGTAAGCTCGAAGCCGACGAACATGCTGGCCAGAGAAAGTTGAGCACCCTTCAGCTTGCGAGCCGAAGGGAGGTATGCTCTTCGCAAAGAAGACACGAAGGATACGTTCGGCGCCCACAAGAAGGCGCCCTTGTGATGGGCTTCGGCGCAGCGCGCGCCGTGGAGCCCTTATTGAAAGGGTTTTGAAAAAAGGAGGAGAAGGAGGAGGAGGAGGAGGAGGAGGAGGAGGAGGAGGAGGAGGAGGAGGAGGAGGAAGGGGAGGGGAGGGGCAGGAGGAGGAGGGAGGAGGCGAGGGGGAGGAGGGGAGAGGAGGAGGAGGAGGAGGAGGAGGAGGAGGAGGAGAAGAGGGCCACAAGCTCCTCGTGCAGAGCGAGGTCCCCAGGCCCGAGGAAAAATCCGACCAGCGAGAGGCGAGACCTTTGGGGGTCGGCGTCAGGATGGCTCGTGGCGTCGGGGGCCTGGGCTCCAGGACCGGAACCCGAGGCTGCGGAAATCGAGCTTCCCGGACATCGCGAACGTCTCGGAAAAGTCGAGACGAAGGTGTTTCCTCGTTTTGGGCCTCGCCAGCTTCCTCCTCCTCCTCCTCCTCCTCCTCCTCCTCCTCTCCTCCTGCCCCCTCCTCCTCCTCCTCCTCCTCCTCCTCCTCCTCCTCCTCCTCCCTCCTCCTCCTCCTCCTCCTCCTCCTCCTCCTCCTCCTCCTCCTCCTCCTCCTCCTCCTCCTCCCCTCCTCCTCCTCCTCCTCCTCCTCCTCCTCCTCCTCCTCCCCTCCTCCTCCTCCTCCCCTCCTCCTCCTCCTCCTCCTCCTCCTCCTCCTCCTCCTCCTCCTCCTCCGCCTCCTCCTCCTCCTCCTCCTCCTCCTCCTCCTCCTCCTCCTCCTCCTCCTCCTCCTCCTCCTCCTCCTCCTCCCCCTCCGCCTCCTTCTCTTCGCCACTGTTCTGTGGGGCCGGCTCTTCGCCCTGAGCCGTTTCTTGCCCGCCCCGAGGCCCGGCGATAGGTCCCCACGGGCCGAACGCGGCCCAGCACCCGCCGCTCCGACCGTGGCTCGGATGTCGGATCTCCGGGTCGCCTCCTCCCACTTATCCGCTACGGGCACCGGGGAAATGCCTCGGGCCAGTCGTTCTGTGTTCGCGATGGCAGATGCAGGTTGCTCGTCTGATGATATGCTGAGCTTTCCGTTTGCCTGCCTCGTCATCGTTGTCTTTCGGCAAAAGATGGTCTTTACCATTGGCCCGCGCACCCTGCTGGGTTGTCCGAGACCGTCAAAAAACGGGTCGGGATGCCAAATTGGTCCCAGGGAAGTGGTCGAGGGGTCGGGGGCCCGTGTGTCGAAGAAATCGGGGCGCTGGGTGTGTGGGCACCAGGGTCGCAGCTCGAGGAGGCCTTTAGACGTTTGGGGTCGTCGTCGTCGTCGTTGTGCGGCGGGGGCCGCAGAGAAGTAAGTATTTTCCACTATTGGTGAGGTCCCAGTCCGTCAGTATGGTCGCCGAATCTATCTATCTATCTATCTATCTATCTATCTATCTATCTATCTATCTATCTATCTATCTATCTATCTATCTATATATATATTCTCATACGCACCTCTCCGAGGGAGTAGAGCTCAGAGGCGATTAATGCGTCCGTCGTTCGCGATTTTTCTGGCCGTTTCGCTCGGGACATCCTCGAAATTCTGAACATCGGTGGCACCCCTCACGCAGATCGTGACGTCAGGGTCCAAAAACACATAGGATTTCCAACATTTTATCATACAACCTTCAAAAACACATGGTAATTTCAATGATTTTGATTCCGATTCTCAGAGAATGGCGGTTTCGCCTGAGACATCCTCCCAAAATCGAGCCCCAGACCCCTCCTCGGAGCCTCCTGGGGGCCTCCTGGAACCTCCTGGGGCCTCCTGGGGCTTTCTGGACCTTCTGGTACCCCAGACCCCGCCTCGGAGCCTCCTGGAGTTCTCCTGGGCCTGCTGAGGCCGCCTGGGGCCTCCTGGGGCCTCCTGGGGCTTCAGAACTACATGCACACACAGAGACACAAATCACGCCCAACACATCACACGCTAGACAAACATAACATACACACACAGCACCGACAACACGCAAAAAGCACGCACCACACAAAGCACACATCACACACACACACACAACACTCACAATCCTGGGGCCTCCTGGAGCCTCTCCTGGTATTCAAGTCGGGCCTCCTGAGGCTTCCTGGGGGGCCCTGGTACACACATCGCAAGGTGTGGCAACCCCACTTGCGCTCGAGTGCGACTTCGCTGTTGCATGTCACTCCTGCTTCAAACGCCCCTTCAGCTTGTTGTATGAGCCTGGGCACACACGTGCCACTTGTATATATATATATATATATATGTATATATATAGCTGTTTCCCATTACTGGACGTTCTCTAGGCCTATAGCGGCTAGTAGCACAGAAGGGCCACGGGGGAGTCCCACAGGGGGGAGGGGGAGCGCTAGACCGCCGGGTCTGGCAGCCGTTTCGCCTTCGACTTCACCACGGTTTTGATGCAGGAATTCACGATTTTGATGCAGGAGCCGTGCTCGTGCCAGTCTGCTTTTTCGCGATATCGCAGGTGTTGCGTAACGTCGGATCTCAGGGTTCCTTGAGGTAGTGGCACTCCCTCGAGGCAGTGGCGAACCCCCCAAGGGTTCCATGCCGATCCGATCGATCCGATTACACGTCGGTCAGAAGAAGTAGGTCGAAAACATTAAGTAGGAAGGCGGATCAAGTAAATTGTGTTCAGGCCCTCCCAGAGAATAGCAAAACGCAGCCATAGCATATCGGTTCTCGCAGTAGGAAGGCGCTTTAAGTAGATTGGGATTTGGGAATCCAGAAGTACCTACTTTCAACGACTGGCGTGTAGATGTTGATTCTCAGGAGGGAAAAAACACACAGACACAATTCATCGTCGATTCCCCAGCAAATATTGGAAAATATGGGACGTGTGGGGCGGAAGACAAAAACCCAGGAAATATGCAAAAACACGGGGAATCCGGTTGTTTGTGTCTATTTATTTGTGTGTCCCAGGGCCCCTTCAGATTCCGGCTAGCTCGATCCGATTCGATTCCGGTGTGCCGTCGATCCGAGGCGGCGTTCGACGCTCGCACGGCGCCGTGGCGCCTCTCGGCGAGAGCCGGTCGGAATCGATTTCGCCTCCGTGCCGATGCAGCCCGGTCCGACGTTTAGGTCGGGCAAGTCCTCCTACATGGGGATTTTGGGCGAACCATGAAAAATAGCCTTCTTTTATATGAGAAAAACGAGCCATATTCAAAAACAATTCAAACATCGTCCCCAGATCATTTTTTTTTACTACTTTTGAGTACTCCTCCTGTAGAGGGACAGGCCCGACTTGATCCGACGCGCATTCCGATTGTGACGGCCTTACGGCCGGTGCCGCCGACCCTGAAGAAGACGAAGACGACGACGAAGACGACGACGACGACGACGACGACGACGACGACGACGACGACGACGATTCGATCCGGTGTTCCGATTCGCTGCTGGCCGGCCCCGCGTCGAGCCCCCTCGGCGCTGCCCCAGAGGCCCGAGCCGGCGGCCGAGCCCAGGGCGTCCCGCCGCCGCCGCGGGGCGAGCGGTGAGCGCCGGGGCCGCGGGGGCCTCGGGCGACGTCGAGGCGCGGGGGCGGGCGGAGAGGCCACTGTGCCAACTGGCACGCAGCGGAGAGGCACAGGGCCGTCGCGGGCTGCCCAGGGGTCTCGCACCGCCGGCGCCCCGAGGCCCGGGGAGGTCCTGTCAGGCAGGCCTCCGCCCAGGCACAGCGTCGATCTTCGAGCCTCGAAGGTCGAGGAGCTTCGGGCCTCGAAGGCCGGGGAGGGGCGGTGCTCCTGGAAAGGGGCCCAAGGGCACACACAAATAGATACACACAGGTCCCAGGATTCCCAATATGTTTCCATGCTCCGCCCCCCCACACATCCCATGTTTTCCCATATTTCCTTGGGAATCGACGATTCGTTCTGTCTGTGTGTTGGTTTCCCCTCCTGCCATTTGTCGGACGTCGCGTCGTGGCGCGAGGCGGACGTCGAGGCGCGAGGCGGGCGACGTCGAGGCGCGAGGCGGACGTCGAGGCGCGAGGCGGACGAGGAGGCGCGAGGCGGGCAGGCGACGTCGAGGCGCGAGGCGCAGTGGTGGGCGGTGTCGAGGCGCGAGGTAGACGTCGAGGCGCGAGGCGGGCGTCGAGGCGCGAGGCGGACGAGGAGAGGCGCGAGGCGGGCGAGGCGACGTCGAGACGCGAAAGGCGCGAGGCGGGCGAGGCGACGTCGAGACGCGAAAGGCGCGAGGCGGGGGGCGTCGAGGCGCGAGGCGGGCGAGGTGGGTCTCCGAGTCGGAAAAGAAGCACGGCATGAGCATAAACTTTCGGAGCTCTGTTCGGGTTTCTCGGATCGGCGCTTGAGCACCCCTGGCGGCGCCTCCGGCGCCGCCCTTGGCGCGCTCCGCGCTCCACGGAAGCGAGGGGTCCAGCGCCGATCCAAGAAATCAGCGCGGAGCACCGAAAGTTTATGCTTATGCCGTTTTGTTGTTTCTCTGTCTCCGCCGCCTCAAGCGGTGTGCGCTCAGAGCAGGAACACAGGAAAGCCTCAGGAAAGCGTCGCATTGACAGCGTAGCTCCGCACACGTGTCGAATGCTCTAGCGAGCAAGAGCACAGCAAAGCTCCAGGAGAGGCACTTCGGGCTCAGGGGAGGAGCTCTGGGTTTCGAGCCGTTCCTTAGGTCTGGGTCGGGGAGCCGGCGCATACGGTCGGGAGCGTTTACTTATCGTGTCGCGTCGGCGGCCCCGGCGACACGCTATGCCTTGCGAGTGGATAGCCTGTATCTCCGATCCGCGGGGCGGGAGGTCGGCAAAGGCCCATGACGTTGACGCTTGAGGGCCAGGAAATGGATAGCGTGTCGTGTTGAAACGTAGTGGGCCAAAATTGGCGGAGCGACACGCTATCCAACAGGTCCCGACCATCTACTCGAGGACGAGGATCAATGTCACGAGACGTGCTCGGCCTTTTTTGGGCCCTGAGGGGCCTCCCAGGACCTCTCCGCAGGACCTCAGAGAGCTCTGGAGACCTTTAAGAGACCTCTCAGAGACCTCCGCCCGCCAGATCAGCGAGACTCAACGAGGGGAGGGGCCGGAGGAGGGGAGAGAGGGGCTCACTGGCAAGCTTGGTGCGCTCCCGCCATGTCTGACATCCTACCCCCCCACCCATCCTTTCTCAGTGTGATGATGTCTTCTCTCCCCGCTGACGCGTGCAACAGCGGGCCTGGAACTCCCAGAAGGACGCTGTGCTGTGCGCCATCGGAAAGAGGGAGCTGCGCACACTGGAGGAGGAGATGGCGAATGAGCAGGAGGATGCGCTGGAGGAAAGGAAGAGGAGACGGAAGGAGGAGGACGAGGACAAACAGCAGCAGCAGGAGTTGGAGCGCAAGGAGCGGGAGGAGCAGGAACACCAGGGGAGGGCGGAGGAGGGGAAAAGAGGGAGCGACGAAGATGAGGAGTGTCTCGGATCCAGAAAATGGTCCCGCGCTGGGGCGAGCCATTCTGAACGATGGGAGCAAAGCGCGGATTCTGAAATGAGTTCAACGCTGCAGCGGGAGTATTATTTCGACAGATTGGAGACGACTGGGCTGTTGATAAATGTATTGGGCCAAATCGTGGACTCCTGTGTGCTATGTACAGTGCGCGGAGGGTGGCGGGTGACTCCGTGGCCATCTTCGCGGGAGAGAGTGAGAGAGAGAGAGAGAGAGTCTTCGTATCAAGCTAGGCGCGCTCGTGCCATATCTGAAGTCCTGCACCTTCCACCACTTTCTTCCCATTGCGCTGATTTCTTCGCCATCCGCCGACGCGTGTAAGGAGGAGGAGGAGGAGGAGGAGGAACAGGACGAGGAGGACGAGGAGGAGGAACAGGAGGAACGGAGGATTCCAGCGATTCCAGCATTCGGGGGATTCACGAGTGCAAGCTCGGGCCCACGGGATCAATACAGTCAGGGAGCGGGGAAGGCCATGCCATACTTGGGGGGCTTGCCTTCAGCCAGCCGCTCAAGATTGCGCCTGCCAGTGGCGGACAGCTTCCGTCTGCCTGTCTCCGGAGACGCGGGTGGACAAGGCTTGGCCAACTTCTGAACAGTGTTGGCAGCAAAGCACCCGCAGCAACGACAGTACAATATACCTTTGAATTCAGCCAGGACGTGCGTCGGGTGCGCACGCGAGAAACATGGATGTCCGTTTGGGTAGCCCTGGGACGCGGGGCCAGGGGAAGTCGAAGGGCCCAACCTGCCAGACGACGAGGACCCCAACACCAGCGCACCAGGACACGGACCAGGCCAGAATTTGGCCAGCTCCCCTCGGACAGCAGGGAATCTACAGAGACACCGTGAGCACTTAAAGGATCCAGCCACTTTAAACACATCATGGCCCTGCTCACGCAATCTCGCTCTGCGGAGGTTGCTCGAACAGGGCCCTCGCTCTTTGTGGTGCTCCCTACCTAGACGATCCTCGCGCGTCCTCGGGCACGTGAGCGAAACGTGCCTGGAGACAGCGAGGAGTCGTTTAACAACACGTAAACAATTTTCATCTACATTAGAAATTTCCCTTACCTTCTCAGCAGGGAGGGCCCCCCACTTGGCAGCTTCCCCCGCAAAGTAATCGGCAACGCCATTGGCGACTAATCCCTGGGGGGTCAGGCGGTGGGCGGAAACCTGCTTGAAGGTGGAGTGGCTCTTGCACCAGTGGACTTCCAGCCGGCCATCTCTGTCGCCAAGCTGGTCCCAGACCTGCTGCCACAGGTCCAGCATGCACGAGTGATCTACTTCAACGTCCTTCCGAGCAAACGCGCGTGCAATCGGCAGGAAGTCGGTGTACAGCACCGCATCACCGACAACCATTTGCAACAGCTTGATCACGGCATACAGTTCCGCTCGGGGAGAGCTTTGCTCGGCACCAGGGAGGGTTCCACACAACACGCCAGCCACCTGGAGGGTCCCTGGATGGAGGTGAACAACAGACCACCCGCATCTCCTCAACCTCCAATCCTTCGTATGATCTCCTCCAGAAGCGTCGCTCCCAAAAATCCCCCCATGAATCAGAACACCTTCACGAAGCGCCTCATGAAAAGATCCCCAGGCCCAAACTTTAGTTTCCACGGGAGGCAACACTCCGACCGTCCAGCCTATGGGAACCAGCCCACGAGTCCAGAAACACTCCGACTCAGGCACGCCATCGAGGGAATCTTGATACACATGGTTAGTGAGGTGTATGTGGACATCATCAATGTTCGCATTATCTTGACAGCCCCAGTGTCTGTGCCACGGTGTTTCCTGGCGAACTCCACAACGAGGGCAGACACCATTGCTGAGATAGCCACTGTCCTTGAGGCGCTGCTCAGGCCACTGGCCGCCAGAGGCGAGGTGATTCAATATAGCAACGCCGTCGAAATCGCCTTGCCGATAAAGCGATTTCCGCAGCTTTCGCAATACAGTAAAATCAACACCTTCATGCAGACCCTGCCCCCCGTAAGCCTCAGAGGCTTGGACCCAAAGCATACGGCCCACTTGTTTTTCAACCGTCTTCCACAAAAAATACGGAAACTCACGTCGATCAACATGGAGGGTGACATCAGGGAATCTCCACGTGCAGGGCTCCAATGGGTTCCCATTGAGCTCCAAGATACACATGATGACAGACGCGATCGGGCCCCGCACATGACGCCACCGGTGAACTGGTGGAACACTTCGCAGCTTAGCTAACAGTTTGGGCCATACTTTGTTCACGCTACAGATCTGGCTAGGGTCAAGGGCCCTGTAAGTTCGGCTCCATTCCAAAAAATGTTCATAGCGTATCTTATACGCTGGGTCATCGGACATAGCATGATCAAGAGCAAGGAGGGTAGTGGTACAACAGCCAGCATGCCATCGTCCTGTCGCTTTAGCCGCCTGGGCACGAAGTGAACGCATGCGCGAGGGCGGAGTGCCAAGGACTTGATGGCTCCATGTGCCAACTGCAACCACACCTGGTTTGAACAACTTGCGAGCACGACGATTAACATGGGCCAGGAACGTGAGCCTCTTACTGCGAAGCTCAGCCTCTTCCTTGCGCTGAGTCATTTTCCACATCGTCCTTCTCCTCCCAGCCGTGGTCCCGACTCCCAAATCCTTCACAGAATCAACAACTTTAAGCGGAACGTTCAGCTCATCACAGAGAGCCTGAAAAGGCCGACCAACTTGCCGAGAAGAGGCGACGACGCACGACTTCGACGAGATCTTACACCCACGACGTTTCAATACATCACAAAGTTCTCGCGCAGCCGGCACCAGTTTAGCAATGATGTCCTGCACGGAGCCCTGGATGCACTGGGTAAGGTCGTCCACATACGCCGAAATCGGAACTCGAGGGACACGGCAATGTGCCGCCTCCAAGATGTCATAGAGATAACATTTGATCCATGGCAGGGACTGGGAACATCCAGCTAAAATGGACTGGCCTGCCTGCGTAACCCCCGACACCAGGGACTGGACCTCGAGGAGCCTGGGGGAAGTGTGGATCAGGAGGCCCAGGTAGAGGAGCAGGGAGGAGTAGTCGACAGCCTGAGCCAAGCCGATGAGCTTACTTGGGTCGATGGTGTCAAAAAACTT